ACTAATGTACTAGTGGAAGGCCCAGAAGCCGAGGCCAATGACTTGGCCTTCTCCTTGCGCTTGGCAGCTTTGTCCAGGGCTGCAGATGGTGCACATGATTTATGTTTAGAGGCCCTAGTGGTGGCCCTACACACCCTGGTGCAGGGCCCAGCGTTCTCAGAGTGCAGCGGGAAAGAGCTGGGAGGTCCATCGCTGCCTCCAGAGACAGAATGATCGGCCATAATAAATCACGGGGGAGCGGGAGAGATTTGAAAGGCTCAAGCTCACTTCTGAAACCAGGGCAAACCTCTGATAATTGGCGAGCTGACTCGTTAGGGTGCTAAGTGATGGCGGCGAACCGACCTCTGCAGCACAATGACTCACTCCGTCCCCAATCGCAATTGAGCGTGCAAGGCAACCTCCACCCCTTCCTGCCGTTGATTTGGCGCGAAGGGACTAACGGCTCAATTAGCCGGCGCCAGCACCTGCACGAATTTCAAAAGTGCATCCAAAAAGATGGCTGCCGTCTTTCCCCGCCCGGAGGGGGGGGGAACGGAATGCCAGCAGCCAAAATGGCGTGGCTGACTCACCCCAAAATCACGCTGCGGCGGCAAGGCTCCCAAAGCGCTGAAAAAGTCGACCCACGCCTAAGAATTGCGCCCCCGCCCACTGGAGGCAAGAACGCGCTGCCTTTCTCAGTGGCAAGCGAAGGGAACGGGAGGCGATACTAGCGGGTTGTTGGGCCCCGCGCCAACACGAGCAGCGAACCGACTCTCACCACGGCCACTGATCAGGGAAGAGAGCGGCGAACCGACCCTCTACTGATTAGACCTGTTCAGGCATCCGGCGAATAAGTCTCCTGGCGAACTTTCCTGCGGCCGCTAGAGTCGCAAGGAAGCGTGAGTTTTATAACTTAGGAAAAACGAACACCAACAATCCGTAATCAAATGTACCAAAAAGAAGAAAAAATCCAAGTCAAATGAGCTAATTTTGTCTATTATCCTAGAGGACAATTTTTTTTGCATCTCTTTAAGGCTGGACTGAGTTAAAAAACTGAACTATCCCAGTCAGAGGAGGCGTGGTCAACAATTACGTAACTCAGGCTCTAGGCTAATGGACAAAGTTAACCCATGCTTGGATTCCCCAAGCAGTGCACAGGAGAAGAATGTGTTTTCTTTGAACTTTGTCTGGAGGCTCGTAAATTAATTAGACCAACTCTTGGAAACTTCACAGGTGCCTCCTGGCACCGGCTTCGGAGTGCCTGCGGTGAGCTGTAGTAGGAGCGCCAATTCTTGCGCTCCAGCCACATGCGTCTCATAAAATGGCTCTTCTCCCCAAAATGGCAACCGCCGACCACGCGGTCCGATGCCCAAGTGAGCTCCAACCGAGCCACTCCTCCAGGAGCCTTCTTTCACACTGGCAAACACCCCCCCCCTACACCCAGATGTAAAAGGGGGTTGTGGCTCTCAGCGCCCCATGGCACGTGGCTCAGAGTCCCCCTGCGACTGTCTAGTGGTTTGGGGGTTCCCACAACGGCAATGAAGCGCAGCTCATGCACACAATCACACCACAGATGGATATGCAAGGAGAGGGAGATGGGAGGATCAGGATAGGTAGGGACACAAAGGGAAAAAAATAAAAAAATATTCTCAAGTCCAATTCGAAGAGCCAGCAAATACAGTACTCTTTTGGGCCGAGACTGAGATTAAACTGGAGCCATGCAGAGGAAGCAGAGGGGAGTGGCCTCAGCTTTAACCTCAGTCTCTGGGCAGATTGGACGTGAGAATAAGCCATCAGTGACTCCTCCCACAGGCTACTTCGGAGAATCATCGATTTGTTGGACTTCACCGGGAAAGACTTTTAGGACGCATCATAACAAATTTGCAAAAAAGATTAATGGACTGTGAACATTTAAAAACAGGTAGCCAATTGCAAGACACCATGAATAAATTACAATTTCTACATTTTGTGGTGCCGGAGTACTGGGATTTTTCAGAAGTAGTAGTTCCATGGACAGCAGCTGAGGAACAACTGCGCACATTTGGTGACATTTTCAATTACATTAACATCAACGACTACAGAGATTTTTTGAAGAATGTGTTAAAAGATTCAAAAAACACTGCAATTCCTGACAGTGTTAAAAAAGCAAAAGATATTGTCAGAACAATTGCTGTCAGTACTGCAGGAGCGGAAAGGGGTTTCTCGAAAATGAACTTCATATGTTCAGAGAGCAGAAGTCGCCTTACCGTTTCTAATTTAACCAACCTCATGACAATCAATATTATTGGCCTACCTCTTCCAAAATGGGACCCTATTCCTGCAGTGAGAAAGTGGCTACAAGAACACCATCGCTCAGCCGATGATCCCAGACTCAAGATCAAGAAAAGTGAGGAGAGTGCCAATGAGAAATCGATGTGGAAACATCTTAAAGTGAAAGACCACTAACACTTTTATGTAAGTATTTGTGTACCTCTTTTATTGTTTTGTGTACTTCTTTTATTCTTATTTAAGTATTAAATGGTTAAATTTGTATATCATGNGCCTTCTCCCCTCACAGTATTCACAGTTGTTGTCTTCACCACCTCTGCCCTCCTGGATCAATATGCGTTCCAGGGCTGCTGCATGCGGTTCAGAGCTCCCTTTGAACCAGCATGCCCACACAAGCAACGGCGCCGATCCGCAGCTCGAAACCGCGGCCCCGCTGAACAGCTAGGGGCCCTACCCGGTGCTACAGCAGAGTACTGGCCCAAGAGGGTGATGTCAACGTCTAAAGCGTTTCCATGACTACTATCAACTTGAGGAGGGGGGGAAAATGCCATGCATACTTTTGGCCAGAGTAAAAGTCTCATACTTCTGTACTGGGACGTGAATGCGAATGTCCCGAACACTACCATGACGTCCTGTTGGAGAATGTGATTAATGACTTCAACCAGAGGGGAGGGGACACAGGGGTAAAGTCACCATTAAGTGTGATTTAGTTTCGGCTCCACAGAAGTCCGTGCCAAGATGTTAGTCCTAATAAATCGACCGTTGACTTACCTGAAAGGTTCTTCTATGTGCACTGCGAGGGGGAATCCAAGCATGGGTTAACTTTGTTCATTAGCCTAGAGACTGAGTTAAGTAATTGTTGACCACGCCTCCTCTGACTGGGATAGTTCAGTTTTGTACGAAGGCTCAGCCAATCCAAGAGACGCAAAGGAATCAGCAAACGAGAAGGTAAGTATGTAAGTAATACTATGTGTGCGTGTGAGATTGAAACAGTGCCAGTGCCCGGACCAGCCGAAGCCGAGGGCGGGTTTGGATTCCCCTCGCAGCGTACATAGAAGGACCGTTCAGGTAAGTCAACGGTCGTTCTCCTGTGCGCTGCTTGGGGAATCCAAGCATGGGACATGCCAAAGCAATGAGTTTCAAGGGCGGGACGCCCTACATATGTCCTCCACCAAGGCCTGCGTTGCCCATGCTGCTGTGATGGTGGCACTCCTGGTGGAATGGGGAGTGATGCGCCTGGGTGCCAGTCGAGATTGGGATTCATATGCGAGGGCAATGCACGCTTTCAACCAGCGTCCAATGGTGTTTGAGGACACCTTCTGTCCCATGGATGCCGGCTGGAAAGACACAAAGAGCACCTCTGATCTCCTGAATGATGCTGTGCGCTTCACATAGCGACGGAGCACCCTGCGAACATCAAGATGGTGCCACTTCTGAGGGTTCGGGTGGATGAGAACCCCTTGCAAGAGCATTATCCGTCTGGTATTCTCCACGGTTGGGAAATTGAAAGGTGGACCAGGTCGGCATACCAAGGGCGTCTGGGCCACATTGGCGCAACCAGAACTTCCGCCTGCTCCAAAAGAATCTTCTGGATGACCAGCGGTACAAGTGGGAGAGGTGGGAAGGCGTATAGAAGACCTTCTGGCCTGGGGCTGCGAAAGGCGTTGGTGCCTTCCGCTTCCGGAACGTAATACCTGGTGAAGAACCTCAACAGGTGTGCATTGTGTGGTTGAGCAAAGAGGTCCACCTGGGGCCGGCCAAAGCGGTGAGCCAGTTCCTGGAATAGAGTCGGATGGAGTTGCCACTCTGTCTGGTCTACTGTGGTTCTGCTCAGCCAATCCGCCTGTACATTGGCTGTGCCTGAAATGTGCTCCGCACGAAGTGATAACAGGTGAGTCTCCGCCCAATGGTGAAGGCGTTCCGCTTCCAGCATCAAGGCCCGGGACCTGGTGCCTCCCTGCCGGTTGACATGCGCCTTGGAAGCTACATTGTCCATGAGAACAAACACGTGGTTGGTCGTCACCAGGTCTCGAAAGTCGCAGAGAGCTAGGCGGATCGCTTGAAGCTCTAGCCAGTTGATGCTGTTCCGCACTTCCTGGACGCTCCAGCGACCCTGCGTCACTCGCATCTGTTTTTACTACAACATGGTCCGGCTCCTTGAAAAGGGACCCCTTGGAGAGGAGGAGCAAACGTCACGACGGAACATCTTTCGGACTTGACAGTCCGAGTCTGCTGATGACACTTTTGCCCTTGGACGGTCTGGCAGGACCTAAACCGTCCCAAAGAGACTGTGACTGTGAAGACAAAACCTTGCTGGTCGCAGGGACATCGCAAAGTCCCTGATCGACCCAAGGGTAGCACTTCTAACTGGCGGCAAACAGGCAGCCCCCAGGCTGACATAGTCGGAGACGGCTCGCAAAGGAAGAGAAGAAGTGAAAGCATTCCATCTGGTGGGGTTTTTTTTCTTTCTCAAGATTGCCCTAAGAAACTTTTTTTTTAAAAATAATAATAATTAGTCCTCTAAGCAAGAACAAAGCGGCGAATTTAATCCCTATTGGACTGCCTTAGAAAGTTTGTTGTTCCTGCCTGTAACGATGTTTTGTGGATTGAAGTGATTGCAACGTTTCCTGTTTCCCCGCCTGAAGTTTAAGGAGTGATCTTTTTTCCTGTTTTTTTTTTACTACCTTAACTTTTTTCTTTTGGCTTGAACGAAAAATTTTTCTTA